TGTGGGGTCCCCTCTCTGACGAGAGGTCTAGTCTGTCATTTGTCAGGCATAGCCTGTATTAGTAAGTCCATTGTCAGTATTTACATATATTTACAAATTTATTCTTACTTCCTACTTCTTTGTACAATATATACACGCCTCTGTCAGGCCAGGCTCGGCACAGCAGATTACGCCCTATTTCTAGCAGTATTCGCTACCACGGCAGTCTAGTCACTTGAACGGTCGTATGCCTGACCGCCGCCAAGTTTAAGCCTCTTATACTTTCTGTGTCGGGCTTCGCCTTGTCCAATATTGCGAACTTTTCGTTATCATGATTTTGTGTGACTTCCGCTTGTTGCCTGCATAAATTTGTTACATAATTATATATGTACGGAATTTTGAATGCCATGTGCAAACCGCGGACCTGTGTGAGCCTTGGAAAATTGCCAGTGGTGCGGAGAGCCTTGTTTTGCAGGCGCTGCAATTTCATTAGATGGGTGTCTGCCGCAAACTCCCAGGCGGGAGTAGCATAAGTCATTACGGATCTAATGAGAGCTTTGTGGGGGCTCAGCTTAATGTTAGCGCTCAATCGCTCACTTTTGAATAGGGAATACTCGTACAATCTTATAAATGTTCTGAAGGCCTTGGCTTCAATCATTTCTATGTGTAATCTCCCTATAACCCTCCTATCAAAGGTTACTCCTAGATATTTTACACAATTTACAAATGGAATATTTCTCCCATTCAATGTAAGATTAGACATAGGCGGACGACGACTCCGAGAGAAGTAGATCCCCTGAGTCTTATCTTCATTTATTTTGATATTACAGCGCTCACACCAGGTCTCCATTGAGCTGAGACCGCGCTGTAGTTTTCTAACAACAAAATTCTCCTTACGATCTGTCGCATACAGACAGGTGTCATCTGCAAAGAGGGCTAGTTGAACGTCATGTGTTTGGGTGGCATCATTTATGTACATATTGGAAAGAGGAGAGGACGGGACCAATGGAGAGCTCTTGTGAACACGGTAATGAACCTTCGGGTTCCATAAGATACCAGGAAATTCTTGAGTAGCTGCAGATTTGGCTTCTCCTCAAGAAGGGCTCGGCTCCATAAGTAAGTAGGTAAAGGGGACAGGACCGAACCTTGTGGCACCCCTGCTTGCATTTCCCTTGGCGTAGATATTTCGCCTTCCACCGAAACACTGGATTTTCGTTGTGAAAGAAATGATTCAATAAGCTTGATTAAGCTGGTCGAAAATTCCAGTTTGACAACTTATACAACAAGCCCGATGCCATGTTCACTGCTCCCTATATAGGCTCAGCACGGACCACCCACAGAAAACATATCGCTGCTTAGCAACGGATATAATGTATTGCTGTCAGGCGTGTCCGCCCATGCGTTGCCTAGCAATGGACGCCCTATTGTTGCGCATTCGCTGCTTGGAACATGTTTACATATTCGTCTCCTAGAATCGGCTCTATATGTCGCAATACAGATACCTGATCCTCTAGGTTGGGGGTTGGACGCGAGGCTGACAAGCTTTCTCTGTAAAGAGAATATTGTTACGAAATATGAAGAAGTGAAAACCGAATGACACATAACCGTGAATGGAGAAAATGTAGCAGAATCTTCTAAGGAAGACTGTGGCTCAAAAAGGGCTGTTTTGCCGATTATGTTACGAATGGTGGATTTGAGAGATGTTTGAATATCTAAAATATACTCAGTAATGAAGCAGTTGACATACATAAAATATCTGTCTGAACAGAACATATCGCGAAGTTTAACATCATTACATAATTCGAGAACTGAATTGTACTATGCATTATTCACAGGTGCTGAGACCGCATATGTAGAAAGACATTCTACGAGTTTTCTCAGTTTATCGAAGTAAACAATTCGAAACGCGTTGAAACAGAACCCGACCACACTTTCTGCCAGTTGTACCGACCTGCCATCCTGCCTGAATTGGCGGAACTGAACTCTGTATTATTTACGATGTTGACCCAGAGCAGGATTCTGGTGACTTGACTCTGATTAATGAACTGTATACATGTTATTTGTTTTGTTAGGGTCGACACTGAAGAAGGGCACTGGATCACCTAGGTGTATGAAGAGCACTGTCTTCTGGTATATAACGCCGTGTAGTCCGTTGAAAGTCAACCGACGTCACGGAGGAACACACTACCTCCATCCTCAGAGTTCCTGAGGAAACGATATTCAACGGATTACACGGCGTTATATACCAGAGCTAGTGCTCTTCATAACCGCCGCTGTGAGGACCTGAAATCCAGCCTAGGCGTGTATTTGTCTGCATATATAAATGACCTTTGGACATGGGAAAAATTCCAGCAGGTTTAAATGTCTGGTGGGCAAGGTGCAATAGATCATTCCAGCTACCCCAGAACATTCTGAACATCTGTGCTTGGGAAGGATTTCTACGAAACGCACAGTTGTACTGTCAGGACTTTTAGCATGAAATGAGGGACCGTATCTGACTTCCCAAGTTACTCAATTAACTAAAAATAACACTAAAATACAATGCAAATGAGAATGAAATGAAGGGACTATTCTGTCCGTTACATAACCAGGTAACCAACCACCTAACTTTCTACCGCAGAATTTTCGCTGAGCTATCCAGATATTCCTTGTTTCATGGAACCTTTCGCCTGTTACCACAACCACATGATTGAAATTCCGGTTCCTGTTCTGAAACGGTTCAGACAAGCTTACATCTACAGAATCAGTTTTTTTTTTTCGCTTAGTGAGAGGTGGAGTCCAACTGGGTCCATTCGGCAAGGCGGCCACTGATTGGCGTATTGTAGCCTGCCCCGGGTGATTATGATGATGGAGAATTTGGTGGAATGAAGATTGGCAGGGGAAACCGAAGTACTCGGAGAAAACCTTCCCCAGCGCCACTTTGTCCACCACAAATCCCACTTGACCAGACTCGGGATCGAAACCAGGCCGCCGCGATGGGAAGCCAGCGACTAACCACTTGAGCTATGGCGCGGCCTTACAGAATCTTACTTAAGGTCATTTTTAATATCGTCTGCCACTACATCTCGTCTTTCATGTGTTCTTTTCCCCTCGAATTTTCCGATCCAAAATTTTGGGCGAATTTCTCTTTACGTACATTGTGCATATTATTTCCATCTCAACCTCTGAAGGTAAAAAAAAACTAAAGTCCCTATGCTCAAGTAATTAAGCACTACGCCATGAAGGCGTATGGGGGAGTGGATGTATAGATCCACATTTACTTTACCTCGACACTACCTGGAGGTGAGTGGTCAGCTTCACGCCCCTACCGCTTTACCCCCGGCACCCATTGGATAACAGGTTGGGTGGGCCCCAGAGCCTGTCTGGACGATATGGAGAAGAGAAAATTCCGATCCTACTGGGATTCGAACTCCGACCCCTCGGTCATCCAGCCCGTACGCAGTCGCTATACCGATTACGCTACAAACCTCCTCTATAAATTATTCTACCAACGGTAAGTGAAAAATATAATTGAGAAAATTCCTGGCTATGTAATTTTTTTTCCATCTATAATCAATTAAGCTGCCTCAGTCTCAAATATATAAGGTAAAGTTAAGTAAAGTAAAGTAAGATAGAGTCGATTCTATAGGGTTCTGACACTCAGCATTACTGGGTTTCTGGACTTTGTCCATCGTCGATATTTTAAAAATCAGAGAATACGACGTTTCGGAAACTGAACATGTTTCTTTCCTCAGGTGAGGCGTGAGACACGTACTCTGTCGCGTCACTTAGAAAGAGCTAAACTCAGTAATTGGATTGAGCGAGTGAGATTAGCTCTTTCTAAAGGACCAACAGAGTATGTGTCTCCCCCTCACCTGAGGGCGGAAACAGATCCAGTTTCCGAAACGTCGTATTCTCTGGTTTTTAATATATCGGACGATGGATAGAGTCGAGAACTCCAGTAATTCTGAGTACATTAAATCGGTCCCTGTGCTTAGTTAATTAAGCACTATACTATGAAGACGTACAAGGAATGGAGGTGTGGCTCCACCATTCTTGACCTCGGAATTAAACGGAGATGGGTGGACAGTTTCATTTCCCAGCGGCTTTATCCACGGTGAAAGATCCCCCGATACCCATTTGAAAGGAGGTTGGTTGGGCCTCAGAGTCGGTTTGGACGCTGAGGAGTAGAGAAATATCTCTAGCCCCAGGCGAGAATCGAACACCGGCCGTACGGCCCTTAGACTGTCGCTATGCCGACTGAGCTATCCTGGGTATTAGTTTCAAATATTTTCTTTCAAAGACCTCCAAACTTCGCTGTCTCTGTCTTTATGTACATAATTGCAGCGCACTGTAAGTGACAGGAGGTTGGAGAAAACTGCGTAATGAGGAGCTTCATAACTTGTACTCTTCGTCAAGTATAATTGAAACGATCACGTCTAGGAGGATGAGATGGGAAGGGCATTAAGCACGAATAGGGGAGAGAAGGAATTCATATAGAATTTTGGTGTGAAAGCCAGAAGGGGAGAGACCGCTAGGGAGACCAAGGCGTAGGTGGGTAGACAATATTAAAATGGATCTTAGAGAGATAGAATGGTGTGGTATGGATTGGATTGATCTGGCTCAGGATAGGGACCAGTGGAGGGCTCTTGTGAACTCGGTAATGAGCTTTCGGGTTCCATAAAATGCTGGGAAATTCTTGAGTAGCTACAATTGGCGGCTCCTCAAGAAAGCTCAGTTCTATTAGTAAGTAAGTAAGTGTGTACATATGTTTGTATGCAGGTGTAATGGTCCAAACTGATCTCGCAGATAAGCAGAGTACTTTCCCGTAGAAAGTCGCTTGTCACGCGGTGTAGCATATGGCTGGCACTCACCGCTAATGCTGCATCGAGCTGGAGTGTCCGCTATGTACTCTCCACTTGTGAGAACTTTCTCCTGTCGTGATTGATTCTCCGTAATTTGGCCTATAGACAAGGTGTTCTAGCAAGTCAAATTATATAATTAACTTTAATTCACTTAGGCCCAAACTTGCTGTGTTGCAGAACGATGCTGCTGATTCTGTTGATGATGCTGGGGCCACTGACAGCCGCCAACTCGACCAAACCTCTGCCCGTTATGAAGCATCAGATGTGTTCCGACCTGTGTACCTCGGGGCTGGGGGGCGCCCCTTGCGGGGAGCTATGCAGTGAGGATTTGGGATTCGACCTGCAGTCTCGCGTGAGGCAGTACACCGTCACCGTTCCCCGGAAGAAGGAAATCTACGGTCCACGCCGTACCGTGTGTCCGCTGCTGTGTCGCAGCAACCTCGGCGAGCCCCTCTGCGGCTGTCACGTCGAAAGGTGGGACCAGTTCTGTAGCCAGTGAAGTGGCTCTCACACGTCACCAAGTGTGAACTGACACAGTACTGGACTCTGAAAATCAGAAATCAGTTTTGAGATCTGATGTTTCACAAGGGACATCAAAAATATTTATTTCAAGCTTTACGAAATCCGCACATAGTCACTGGTTAGGTTAACCAAAATGGCATTTTGGAGTTGGTCATGATTTTATAATCTTTGCTTCCAGAGCGCTTGGTACTTTGTTGCGTCAAAAAGAGTTAGAAGTGAAACATGGCAAAATTCCATCTAATCCGCCTAGAAATATAGGGCTCGAACCCTCCCAACATCAGATCGTATTTAATCCATATTATGAATATATTATTAGACGAGTTAAAAAAATCTGATTGTCCTGACAAAAGATTATCGTTGAAGTATGTCAAAACTAATCCAGATGTGGGGCACGTGGTAGCGTAGTTAGTTGAGGCACCATGCTACAAGTCGAAAGGTCGCGAGATCGAGTCCCGATGACTTTTTCAATTTACCTAATCCTTCCAGCCACACTGTTGCCCTGGGGTCAACTCAACCTCTAACAGAAATGGGTACCAAGAAATGTATACAGTTGCCGTTTTGTAGTGCACTCAATTTCACCTGTTACTTCACGACATGTTTCGGCAACATAGTGCCATCATCAGGTACCCTAATTACGCTAATCTATTTCATTGCTTGCCTTTATAAAATATTTCAAAGTATATAAAAAGTATGTATATGTCAACTATAATGAATTTACACACACTAAAACTTGTTAAGATTATTCATCTTATGTGTCATAATTAAAACTTGCGTGTGGTTCTTCCACTATGGGGGTCGTTTTTCTTATATTCTTCGTAAATCGTGTCTTGTGATGTGTGTTCCCTTCTTAGCTGCGAGTGTTGTAGTGCACTACAAGACGGCAACTGTATACATATCATGGATGAAAATCAGTGCAACAGGACGCTAAAATACAACATTATGAGTACCAAGAATCTTCCTGGGGGGTAAAGGGCGGCCGGCGCGTAAGGCTAACAACCTTACCGCCATCTGTGAGCCGATTGTCTAGAGAAAATGTGGGGGAACACATTGGGTTAGAAACGTGGAATTTGCACCTACTATTCAGGAACGCCCAGCCCGCATGTTTGAAAGGATTGTTTATTCCAATCACAGATTGGAGCACACTTAATGTCTGTATTTACATCTCACAGCCGTAGATTGGACTTTCATTTGACTGGGCAGCACACATGAAACTGAATAACTAGCTCACTATAGATCGAACCAACAAAATTTGCCACGATATGAGCCAAAGAAAGTTGAAGTGAGAAGCAGGGAACAGGAAAGTGACTAGCTACAGACAACAATAAAACCATTATAACACAAACAATATTAACACTTGTAAATGTCATTGAAATTAAAGAAAACGGTGCTTGTATAAAAGTCTGCACCCGAGCAGGGAGCTTTTTGCATTTCGTGTTTGCAGACAGAAAGGGACAGAGCCATCGCGACTGCCATAGTTACGTGGTTTATCTCTAGCCTTCATACTTGTAACATCATTTAAATATATTACATATGGAACCCGATGTACTCTGAGTTTCTCTGGAGTTTTGGAACAGCTCATTGTGGGTGGTGACTGGCACGATTCAGTCCTCCAGCGCAGTGTTTCCACGTCTGCATGGAATGAGGACCTTTCTCCAAGCACTGGAGATGCTAAGAGCACACTGACCATATAGCAGCTCTGGTGGTGTATGAATGGAGGAAATGCTGTACAGTAGTTTAGAGTTCAGTTTTCGTGTTCTGTAGATTAGTTTCCCTCTATCCGCTAAAGTTGGCACTAACTTCACCGACAAGGGGCGGTTGCTCGGTCGGTATAATTCGCCTGCGGACTAAAACCATGGAGCTGGTTTTTAGTTTCTTTTATGCTAGTGGGGTGGGACTAACTCCCTTCTACTGCGGCCACTTCTGGCCTATTGTACCAACCCCAGATGATAGGTGAGGGTGATTGTGGAGCAATTGGTGGAATGAAGATTGGCAGGGGAAACCGAAGTACTCGGAGAAAACCTTCCCCAGCGCCACTTTGTCCACCACAAATCCCACTTGACCAGACCCGGGATCGAACCCGGGCCGCAGCGGTGGGAAGCCAGCGACTAACCGCTTGAGCTATGGCGCGGCCCGGCTTTAAGTTAGTAGATTAGTTTCATGAACGTTCTCCAAGCAACCATGTCTCAAACGTCAGAAGATTTAAATCCTGTTGTAACCATCATCTTGGCGGACGCTGTGTATTTGTTAGATATCTGTGATGCCACATCAGTGTCACAAATATGGTACGTAATTGTCAGATCATTCGTAATTTCACTTCAGTGGGTGTCCAGCCTAAGTTATGAGCCCTACAGCTTCCGTTCTCTCGAAACCCTTTCATCATAATCATGTTAGGTTTTACCTCTGTTGTTGAGACAGCGTCGCCAAGCCAAGAAATCAGCATGGCGGTCAATTTGTTTTGCTGTAATATACACCAAAACAGATGAGTGATTAAGAACTGTCTCTGTGCAGTGCCTTGGTGATGAAGCCTGTGAACTGGACCGCCATCTGTGATTCCTTCTGCCTCCTAGAGGGGTACACACTGTACGGATGTCCGCGCTGTAGCGTTCTCAAGCCTCACAAGGCGAGGTTGTCCATGGCTTCCGACGCCACCAGAGGAAATTCTCAGGACGTCGACTGGGCTGATCTTTGCGCCTACCTCTGCAGCATTGGCGAGGGCGGGGCCGCCTGCAACTGTGACGCCGTGCCATAGGTCACTTCTCACGTCAAGTGTGTCGCCACACACCAGCTCCACTGGACACGTGCTTGAAATTAATAGAGAACATGGTTAATCTGTCCTTCATCTATAAAGAGGAAGTAAAATTCCATTCATTATTAATTAACTTCGACGTTATCTGGAGGTGAGGGATTTGCTTCGCGCTCAGCCCGCTTTATCCTACCGGAAAGAGCCTCCGATAATCTTTAAGTTTTTAGAAAAGTTACCATAAAAGCGGTTTTTAGAAGAACATAGAAATCAGATCAATTTGACCATGAAATTGCGGTTATTGCCCCTTCTGGGGTTTTCTGGGGCCAAATTAGATCTAGTTTTGTCCTGGGGTCCATACTGAGGAAAAATCGGGACTTGGAATTACAGATCATCAGCTGGGAACCCGGCGAAGTATGTAGAATCGCAGTGGATATCCAGTTTCATATAACAGCTCCAGCGGTACAGTGCGCTCTAGAGAGGAACAAGTCATTATACCTTACCGCAAATGTGCCTACAGATTTGCTCTGTCTATATCGGAAATGTTCTGGTCTAGAAAACCGAAATTAACGGCCGTAGGAATTCGTTGGGCAGACCACGCGACACCCTCTATCCGCTAAATATGGCACTAACTTCGCCGAAAAGCGGCGGTCGCTCGGTCAGTATAGTTCGCTTGCGGACCAAAGCCACGGAGTTTGTTTTTTCAGATCGGAAATTTGCCGAATATCAGACGGTCGGCATCTAAGAAACAAACCGCAGATTTGTCGCAATGGAAGCCATTCTTACCTCATTCGTACAGCTACAAAAGTGCATAACCCTAGCTTACCTTGGCGCTTTTCTTTATCTGAATCCCAGACACAAGTGTAGCCCCCCAGAAACCGGCTACCACATGCTTACAGTGTGATGACTGAGCTCTTTACTTTCATTTAGCAGCTGCTTCAGGAAACCGTGCTGACCTGGAAGAGCTCAATCAGCAAAGTACATGGCTATGACCGGGATTCGATTCCCGATAAAAGTAGTGATTTGTCCCTTCACTCGCCACGGTGTTCACGTCGCTTCTGGGTCCGAACCATTCGTGTGACCATGAGCACCAGAGGAACATGAGGCCGGTCACTCACCATCTACGTAATGTCGAAGTTCAGAATGTATGGAACTTTATTACATCCCATATAAACCCCATGGAAACGCAGACAATTTTATTTTATATTTTCAGGAAAAATATATTTTCGATGAAGGCAGGTTATGTTAAACTGTTATCACAGATTCATGGAAAGAATGCGCGTTTACTGATGTCGGTGGCCGTTACTGCTCCAATGGGGTAGTAAACCTACCAAATTATACTATACTGCAATTGTAACTACAAAGCCCAATGATAGGGTGGCATAATTGTCTGGGGCAACATTCATTTCTGTCGATTTTAATAAAATCGTTATGAGGGAATATAAAACTGCTGCAAGGATCATATTAGTGAAAGGCATTTACTGTTTTTCAATTAATTAAATTAAATCATTTGTAATAAAATAAAATCCTAGTAAACAAAGAAAGGCTCTTAAGAACAACGCAAATAAAACACCTAAAATTGTGAGAGAATACTTTTAGCCAGATGGAATATCTGTGGGACGAAATGGGGCTCTTAGCAGAGTCTGCAGCGACATTGAACACGAGGCACCAAACCCAACCGGAAATACAGTAAAAAATATTATCATTATTAGAGGGCTGTAAACATATGAGGTTTAAGACGTACATCTATGTAAATAGAGTCTGTGTATAGTCTGTGACTTCTGATGTTATGAATTGCCAGTAACTTAAATAAACATTATATGCTATCGGCTGCATTACGTAAGTCACCTGAACTACGGCTGCAGACAGAAGTGGGACATCACCCAAATGTATCGCTTTATAATGGAACAGTTGCAGTACCTTGCAGTTCTAATGGAGTTACGAAACAATAAGAAATATTAACATCATACCACGTTATTTTTATTCGTAATTTAAATGCTCATCTACTCGTAGGATGCAGACCATTAGCAGGCCTGTTCACACCTGTGATACTTACCTTCCCCGCCATAGCGCGTGATATTATGGGTCGAATTGCCAAGGTATTGTCACCATTCTCAGTCCAGTTCCGGAAGAGTAGGCCCCTGCCATAACCCCTTCCGCGCCTGAAGAATCATTAGCGTCCTATTAGCTGTACTCGTATGTCCATGATAACCTGTAATTTCGATTGCAGGAAGTCCACAAGCAGCTAGTATTAACTATGGAGAACTGGCAGAACATGCTTCTTTTAGTGATTTGCAACACGAAGTAAATATTAGGTGTCACGGCTCAAATCAACTGCGAACCTTACACAGTATTTCCTCACAATTTTAATACAATTTTGTGATCCACAATATGTTCCATTCTTTTAACACCTTTCTTCTGCCCAAAATATAGACTGATGTGTCACTCCTCTATGTTGCTCTCCTAATCTCGTACAGTAAGACTCCATTAATTCGGACTAATTGGGAACGAACCCTGGTCCAAATTAGTGAAAGTCCGACTTATGGAAGTGCTCGCCTTCACTTGACTTCTTAGGCTATACAACGTTAGATAAATTCTAAAGAGTTCTGACGATGGTTTATAAGAATTAGAATTACTGAGTTTTTGGACTTTCACCTGAGGACGGAAACAGAACAATTTTCCGAAACACTGTGTTCTCTAATTTTTGGAATACCAGACGATGGACAAAGTCCAAAACCCTAGTAATTCTGAATGCAACTTTATTTTGAAACTTAGATTGGATATCATAAAAATAAATTTGTCATAACATTAAAAAAATGTAAGTTTTGTCATCAGTCTTAAAACATTTTAGATCGCGGTAATGTGATCATCAAACCGTAATGCGCAAAGAAAGAGCTGTCCGAATTATCGCGAATTCCGAATTGGTCAGGTCCGAATTAAAGAGATTTCACTCTATTTCCTGCTACGTGCAATTCTCCACTTCATGTTTACATCCAATATTCTCTTATAGACTTGTCCCACCATCTGTAAGCAAGTTTCTACACCTCTGCCGGTCTCTTCAGCTCTGCTAGTACTGTAGCAGCATCTTCTGTAGTTAGTGATGTCAGAGGCGATTAGGGACAAGGCGACAACAGGAAGACGTCACTGTTTGTGAAATGATGTTTTTCTGAACACTACATGCTTGAAGATGTCAAAAACAATAACACTATGATTTTTATTCTTCTTCTCATTCTGACAACCTTCTCTTTCTCCATCTTCTTCTCTTTTCACTTTTTCTCTTCCTTCTCTGCTCCCTTTAAAACCTCGTTCCTCAATGCTGTGTGTTTACGTCCCGAAGGCTTGGCCATGGGAGCGAGGTGTTTTAGGGTGCTGAGATAGAAGGTACACAAGGTGTTCATACCTGCGGTGATTTCTTTTCAGCCAGTACGCATACCGGTAAACGGTTCATGCTTATCGGCAGTCAGATATCAAACGTCATACATCTGCCGGTCCATTGTAATTTTTCGCCATGATGACGAAACCCAGTGTGGGAGTACCGACATTAAAAATTCGTGCTTGCCTGGATAAATATGGAAGTACCACTTTTAAGATAGCTCAGTCGTTATAGCGACTGGCTACGGGCTGGACAACAGGCGTTCGATTCCCGACTGGTGCAAGAGATTTTTCTCTTCTCCGCAACGTCCAGACCGGCTCTGCCCCTCCCCCCACAGCCTCCTCTCCTATGGGTACCGGTGGCCCTTTCCTCGGAGGTAAAGAGGCCGGGGTGTAAAACTGATCACTCACCTCAATATAATGCCGAAGTCAAGAATGGTGGAGCTTTACCTCCACTTCCCCACACGTCTACATGTCATAGTGGTTAATTAACACATGTGAAGCATAGGAACAAGTTTCTCTTTATTTGTAACAGTTCAAGGAGTACGCCGTACAGTAGTACATGGTAACTCTTATCAAAAGTCCATAGAATATGCTCCACTTGATTAGCATTCAATGCGAGTTATCTGCACTGGCCGACCTTACTGATTAATGCAGGGAATAAATTAAAGACTTCTGCTGTAGTTAGCTGCGCAGTGTGTTCAGACTTCTTCGTTTCCTGACCGCTTAAAATTCGGGCCGAACTCTGTCAGGGCCGAAACCTGACAGCGCGAGCTGCGGGCCTAGCCCAGTACTGTCCTGTACATGGCCGGAAACGTCTTTTAAATCTAGGGACACGGTCTACATCAGTAGAAGAGCCCGCGGTAAGGAGCAACGCAAACTATAAAGACAATTATCGAAACGCAGGTCTGTGAGTAAATGCCATAAGTATCCTTGCTGGGAGGGCTCCAGAAAAACAGCTTAAAACTACTAGCCAATTTAATAGCCGTAGGGCCTATGCTTCTTAAAAATAATTTTATATTCGCCAGTGCTCTGCGTTAACTCGCACGTGGACAATGGGTAACAGTTTTTCAGGAGCCCTGGGAAAGATGGTTTAGGTTACTGTATCTCAACTTTTCTTTTAAAGTTCCCCTTTTTTCAAAATGTTTTTGAAATACCCAAAGTATCTGAAGTTTTCGAAAACACGAGATAACGTGAACTTTTCCTTCACAAACAGCTGCACATTTTAACTGTTCTATTACCATACTTTTTTACGCCGATGTTAGTTTATAAAAATGTTTTTTTTTTATTGCTAGTGGGGTGGGACTAAGTCCCTTGTACTGCGGCCACTTCTGGCCTATTGTACCAGTCCCAGATGATAGGTGAGGGTGATTGTGGAGCAATTGGTGGAATGAAGATTGGCAAGGGAAACCGAAGTACTCAGAGAAAACCTACCCCAGCGCCATTTTGTCCACCATAAATCCCACTTGACCAGACCCGGGATCGAACCCGGGCCGCCGCGATGGGAAGCCAGCAACTAACCGCTTGAGCTATGCTTAGTACTTAAACCTTAAAACAAAAATTCAGACATTCAATTTGTGTTCAAGTGCCTCCCCTCCTCCGTTAGAACTCCCTCACGTATAAGGGTACGTGTATCACCTTCTGAGAAACGCTGTTTACATGTTTGAAGACACTGGAAATGGCTTCCTTAAAGTAAAGCGTTCTGGAGCTAAGTACACAGCGGCTGCTAGCTTCTAAGCTCGTATTTCTGGTCATCATCTCGAATTCAGGAGCAGCTGTGAGTAAATCTGGCCAGCGTTTGTTTCGGGGATGCGTTCATAGCATCAAGACAGTAATTTGTTTCTGCTTATCAAATTCAAATTGTTTTCTTTACATTCAATTGGACGTAAATGTCGTTCGAACACTTCGGGAAGGAGAGGCAATTGGAAAGCTTTCCATTAAACTGAAACATGCAGAAACCTGATCCAAACCAAGGCCCCGGCCCGAAGAGAGCGAATGAAATGCGCAGGACATGTTGCGCAGTCTGAATGTCATGTGACTTTTTGTTTACGTCATTGCAGGCTCCGTTAAACTGGATTAGTCAAGTCTGTGTTCAAAATTATGTTTTTCAGATACTGCCATACCGACTCCCCATGGTAACCGAGAGCGGTTGTGATCCGCACACATCGAATGCATTGCCAGGAGACTGCTCTAACGGCAGCTTTATTATTTTGTTTCTTGGGGTGAGGTGAGACTCAGT